ATAATCCATGTGACATCAGGGGTTCAACCGTAATATTACAAAGCTACAAGAATACTTTTGTGTGCAAAAGAAAGAAAAAAAACTACTTTATTCAACAATTCGTCGTCTCTGTGTCACCCTAGCGCCATTTTGAAGAGTATCCACTGAACGCAAACAGCGTATGTTGTTCTGTGTCAGCTGAACCACACGGATATGTTGTTTTCGTTCAAATCAAAGGACAAACAATGTAGAAAGCGTATCTGTGTGGTTCAGCTGACACAGAACAGCATACGCTGTTTGCGTAATCTCCTTGCTACGTTTCTGGACGTTGATCGTGGTAGTACCCTTGCTGTCTATGGGAGGGTCAGAGAGGGAATTGTGCTTCCTGTTCTTGCAGTGTTCAGTTTTTGTCAGTGGGTGTCAGCCTTGCAGCGCGATACAGAAGCTAGAACAGTGGTTCTGCCTAAAACTAAAGAAGAAATATATATAATATAATCATTCAGATTCTGCCTTACTCACACACGTCTGCATTTTGAAATCTTATAATAGTAGTTTGACAAATGCTACGAATGTGTGCTAATAGACTTTGTTGATTGTTTTTCATTGGCATGGGCATGTTTCTTCACTTAAAAGTTTCAGTGAATTTCACAAAACCTGTGAAAAGCATGTCTGGCTCATAATTCATCTGAAAATCTAATTATATTTTACTTAGATTTATCATACTTTCATAACAACTAAGTATAATTCTCCAGTTCTCATTCATGAGAATTAGACTTTTTTTTTTACATTATGGTACTGTAATATTTAAATAAAACTAATTGTAATAAAAATGGTACTGTAATTTTTACATTTTAAATAGTATTTTTACTGTGTGTATATTTTATATATATATATATATATATATATATATATATATATATACAGTGGGTACGGAAAGTATTTAGTTTTTGCTCCCATTTTTCGTGAGGCAAATGGTGGTCACACCAGATACTGACTGGTTTCGGACCCCACAATACAGTAAAACTGCACATTTTAGAGTGGCCTTTTATAGTGGCCAGCCTAAGGCACACCTGTGCAATAATCATGCTGTCTAATCAGCATCTTGATATGCCACACCTGTGAGGTGGATGGATTACCTCGGCAAAGGAGAAGTGCTCACACAGATTTAGACAGATTTGTGAACAATATTTGAGAGAAATAGGCCTTTTGTGTACATAGAAAAAGTCCTAGATCTTTGAGTTCAGCTCATGAAAAATGGGGGCAAAAACAAGTGTTGCATTTATAATTTTGTTCATTATATATACATGCATACATACGCATATACATTCATATACATACACAGACACACACACATACATATATATACATAATTTAATTCACATTTATGTATGTGTGTGTATGTATGTATGTATGTATGTATGTATGTATATATATATATATGCACACACACACACGTATGTATGTATATAAATGTATATATGTATATAAAATATTTTTAGCATATGTTTAGTATTTTTATGAGTTTCATTAGGTATTTTTATGTATAAATATACATGAAATAATATAAACCATTTATAAAAGCATATACTGCTTCTATAGTTCAACCTCAAAATTAATTTGCAGGTGCTACTTTGTTCATTCATAAATGCCTTTACACTCTTTATTTTTTATTTTTCATTTTGATTTTAGCTTGGCGCTAAAAAGGGTCTTGGTGCCCAGAAGGTGAGCAGCAAGAGCTTCACTGAGGTGGAAAAACAAGCCCAGGTGGCAGAGAAAATGAGAGAGGAACAGGTCGTTGAGGCCAAGAAACAAGGCGAAGAGTCCATGTGAGTCTCCAGATGCCACACATTCAGAATCTCTTGGACATTTGCAGATGCTGGAAAACTGAGATGCTTTTTCTTAAAAGATTTTGATTAGAACCTATTGAATGGTCAAGCGTATGTTTGAGTAAGATGATGGCTCCTCTAACAGTGCAATCAGAGCTATAGCTTAGTTTTTGTTTTTCTCTGATTGCGTTCCCTCTTTTCTCACAGAGTGGCCTCGATGCGATTGGCCTACAAAGAGCTGGAGATTGACAGGAAGATGGAGGAGAAGAAACTGAAGAACCTTGAGGGCAAGAAGAAGGAACAGGCAGAGAGGCTGGGCATGGGATTCGGCAACAGGAGGTAAAGACACGGCGGCAACCTCGATTAAACCACCGTCACGTTAATTACATCACTCCCCTCAAGCATGACATCACTGTCTGCAGCAGATTAATAGCCCAGGATGCGGAGCGATGTGTCTGTTTGTTAATGTTATTGTACATTCAGCTTAATGAGGCTGATATGATGTGACTTTGATCGTCCGCAGTGCCGTGTCTCATTCCGTGATGGCTGAAATGCAGGTGATCGAGCAGGAGACCCCGGTCGGAGTCAAATCCTCTTCTCGTTCTAAGCTGGACATGTTTGATGAACCCAGCTTCGCCTCCGGACCGCCCAAGTATGTCTGTTTCAGACAGCATTTGTGAATGTGTGTGTTTGCATGTGTGAGATTTGTATCAATCATTGTGATCTCAGGTACAAGGACAACCCTTTCACTTCAGGAGACAGCTTTGGCTCACGGTGGGACAATGATGGAGGATCCTCATTCTCTTCCTGGGCTCTGGAGAAGGAGGAGCCTAAAGAGAGTGAGGTCACCATCTCAAGCATCCAGCCAATCGGAGAAAGGTTTGTTGAATAACGTCCTGATGCAGTAGACAGTGATTTGATTTGTGGACGTTTTTATGACCCCGTGACACAATGTGTCTCAGGTTGCCCAGCCGACGGAAGCCTGAGGTGTCTGTGCCCATCACAGAGTCCAGCGAAGCACAACAGAAGTTTGCCAATGCTAAAGTGTGACACAATGTGTCTCAGGTTGCCCAGCCGACGGAAGCCTGAGGTGTCTGTGCCCGTCACAGAGTCCAGCGAAGCACAACAGAAGTTTGCCAATGCTAAAGCAATCTCATCGGACATGTTCTTCGGCCGTGAGAGCAACCCAGAGGTACAGTGAGCCCACCAGAGCTTGAGTTCTGTGACTCGGACTGGCAGTTTTGACACATTTTTCACATCCTTTTTTTCTTTTTCATTTTATTTCTATATATAAATATTATATTAATTATTTTTACATATTTCATCTGTAATTCTGTAATACTGTAAATAATATTTTTTTAGGATTCAAAACAAGTGTGCCACACAAGTCTTAAAAAGTGAAGCCAGAACGTTTCGATCAAAGATAACACAAGTAAACACAACATGCAGTTTTTAAATGAAGGTTTTTATTATTAAGGGAAAACAAAATCCAAAACTACATGGCCCTGTGTGAAGAAGTGTTTGCCCCCCTGTTAAAACTGTGGTTTATCACACCTCTCGTCTCTTTTTTGCCAGAAAACATCTTGATGATCCCCAAGACTTTTGGGAAAATACTCTGGACTGAGGAGACAAAAGTTTAACTTTTTGGAAGGTGTGTGTCCCATTACGTCTGCCGTAAAAGTAGCACTGCATTTCAGAAAAAGAACATCATACCAACAGTAAAATATGGTGGTGGTAGTGTGATGGTCTGGGGCTGTTTTGCTGTTTGTATTGTTTATATAAATATATTATTTTTCCCCACTAGTATGAAGCAAAGACTCGTCTAGAAAGCATGTCTGGAAGCACCTCCATCAGCTCTGCTGACCTGTTTGGTGATGGCAGTGTCCGTTCCTCTGGTAAACACTTCTGTCTTCAGCTATACTGTTTACTTCATGCTAATTAGATTATAAAATGGAAAAAAGTCCTATATTTGTTGGCATATTATATAACACGAGTGTGGCGCTCCGTTTCGTTCATGTACATCGCTGTAGGCTCATCAGGATTTGACAACGTGCTTCCCTCCGGTCCTGACATCGCCCAGTTCAAGCAAGGTGTGAAGACTGTTGCAGGGAAGATGGCAGTGCTGGCTAACGGAGTTATGAACACCATTCAGGTGAACGCACTTATTTCAGTCTTGACTATATATATTTAAATACATCCACAGCAGCTGCATTAACACCATCTGATCATGTGTGTGTGTGTGTGTTCAGGATCGCTATGGATCTTACTGAAAGGACTGCATTTGAATGAAACGGAAGTTGCATTACAGAACGCACCTCACTGCTGATTGGCTCTGGTCTGTCTTTCCCACATGAACACACATCTGAGAAAGACCAAGACCCGGGAGCTCCCAATCTCTCCCCAGACCACTGTAGACACTCTTGCTGACAGTATTTTCATTTCTTTTTGAGGACTCAGTGCTTTCTGTTCGAACTAACAGTCCTCTTTTCTCTGCAATGTTCTGGTCTTTGATTTCAAATAGGTATGGATTTGAAAAGTATTCTGTCTGGAATTAAATGTATAACTAAACTTAGAGCGCTAATATGTTCTCATGGCTTTCTTTTTGTATTTTAACGGTATCTGAAGACCTCGGTTCATTCGGTGAACAAGGAAAGGAGCCCATATGGTATATTTATACATTGGAATATTTGGAGCCCATTTCCTAAATGCAATCTATTAGATTTTGATGCATTATCATGATTTTACATTGACAAAGTTTGAGTGATTAAGTGATAAAATAACAGTAATATTGTGCAATATGTCCTGGCATGTCAAGGACGAGTTCTTGAGGCTTTTTGTGAATGCGGATGTGTAAGTGATCCATGGAGTTTGAGTTGTCAGGACCGATGATTTTAAACTGAACCCTGTTTGTTTTTGCATGCCAGCATAAGCCGAAGACACTGGTGCTGTATCCGATTTCCAGCATTCCCTCGTATTTACAAAGAAAATGCTCAAGAAGCCAAGCAGGCTGAGGAGGTTTACAGCGATGTGATTTAATCAACGGCAATTTAACAAGACGCCCTCAGTTTAGATGATAAAATGCCATATGATTTTTTTGTTTTTTATTTAAAGTTCACCCGCTATCGTCTGTTTTCTGGTAATCTGCATGTGCAATACTGTTTCCTAGTACATGCATTACAGCCTTTCTTTCCTTTTCTTTCGGGTTAATGCCAGACGGGGAGCTAGCGAATGGCATTTGTCTGCCTGTCCGTTTGTATCCCAATGCTAAAGTTGAAAATAAAGAACAACAATCCAACTACCGTCTGGAATAAAAGCTATTTATTGTAGCCTGTTGAGAAGAATCTATTGAGATTTGTGTGAATAAAGATTGAAATCCCCACAACAGCTGTTTTAAGACTGATTCTATAAACGCCACAATCATTTTATGACAGAAGGATTACAGATAAAGTGCAAAACAAACAAGAGTGGTAATGGAATAATTAATGCACACAAAGTGTTGACCCTTTAACCCTAATAAAAAATACAAGTCAGTAGAGTATTGGCCTGGCTGACGTTAACCCTGTAAAGCTTATTGTTACATTTGCCTCTAAATTATCAACATGATCAAAACATAAATTAAAAACATGTTGTACGCAATTTTCTACATGACTTCTGTTTGCTTTTTTTTTTTTGTTACTGTGAAATTTATTATTTTAAGTAATGTAAGAAGAACTTCTATACTGATAGTAATACTTAAAGATGAACACTTACTGGACTGACGCAACTTAGTTTTACTTGATTTTCCATACACCATTTTTAGAAAAATCTGGTTAAAATATATCAAATATGATCCATCAGGCTTTTGAGGAACGTTTATTTGTTCATCAATCAACACTGCATTGTATCATATGTTCTGCCCCACAATAAAAACTAGAGTGTTGATCATTAAACTAAGCATTTAAATATAATTTTACTAAGACATATTATTGAGAGAGACAGAGTTCCTACTGATATTTATATGCATTTTATGTCAGTAGCCTGCTATACTGTTACAAAGATCACTTTGATTTACATCAGCTATCAGAATTTCGTCTTCCTTTTTGACCATATAAATATGACCAAATTTGACCAGATTGCATATACAGGTGCATCTCAATAAATTAGAATGTCGTGGAATTTATTTCAGTAATTCAACTGAAATTGTGAAACTCGTGTGTTAAATAAATTCAATGCACACAGACTGAAGTAGTTTAAGTCTTTGGTTCTTTTAATTGTGATGATTTTGGCGCACATTTAACAAAAACCCACCAATTCACTATCTCAACAAATTAGAATACTTCATAAGACCAATAAAAAATTAACATATATAGCGCTCCAGGCTTTACAATGTTCCTGATTCCGAAGTCTGCTCAGGAGTGCTAAAAGACTCTTTGATCACAGGTACAAAAACACTCATAAATGTCAGCTTCTGTTATTGCATCGATAGTGAGGCATCTATGTACAAACAAAAGATCAATGTAAGCGTAAGTCCTCCTTCAGTCTTATTTGCATAGCAGTTAAATTCAGAGGGCGATCAGAGAGCCGCATTATCCCTTTGTAGGCCCTCATTGTGTCCCAGGCTTCTCATCCATGTCAAAGCTTTGGATTTGCTTAGTCACACAATCAAAGAATAACAGGTTTAGAAACAGCAGACTGGCTGTATTCGGTAAATATATGAATGGAGCCGATTACTGTAACAAACAAACAAGAAAAAACCCGAATAATGGGGATTTATGGCTTATAACAGCCTCTGAATTCACTCATTCAAATGCACATTCAAACTCACTGAGTAAATTCAATTCCCTTCTCAGCTTGTAAAAGTTCAATTAAACGCAGAAGTTGCTCGTTCACAGCTCAGCTGATATGATAGAATGATAGAACGATAGATAGATAGATGATAGATAGATCGACAGATAGATAGATAGATAGATAAACATAGATAGATAGATAGACAGACAGACAGACAGACAGATAGATCGACAGATAGATAGATAGATAAACAGATAGATAGATAGA